AGAAAGAAAGAAAGAAAGAAAGAAAGAAAGAAAGAAAGAAAGAAAGAGAGAAAGAGAGAAAGGAAGGAAGGAAGGAAGGAAGGAAGGAAGGAAGGAAGGAGAAAGAAAGAAAGAAAGAAAGAAAGAAAGAAAGAAAGAAAGAAAGGAAGGAAGGAAGGAAGGTAGGTGGTGGGAGTCCAGGTGACCCTCTGATGGCTGCGTGGCCCTATCATTTCCCACAGAGACATTTTCCCACGTCAAGTCACACTCTAGCCATCCCAAAAAGAGGAGGGTCACACACCAATAGGCACCTTATACAGCTCTATGCACGGCCACCAGGGGGGAAGACCAGAGTCCGCACAACCCAGAGGCTAGGCCAGGCCTGTGGCTCATGCTGATGATGGCTGAGAACAGCTCCTCTGGCTGGAGCTGCGGTGGCTCAGGACAAAGGTGGATGAGTTGCTTTTCTTGCTGACGCTTGTCTCTCCAGGCCGGCTGCCCTTCAGGGAACTGGCAGAGCAGCAGAGGAAGCGCTGCACAAGTTCGTGGAAGAGGTGGCCTGTGAAGAGCATGTAGATCCAGGGATTGCAGCAGCTGTTGAGGCTGGCCAAGAGCATGGCGATGATGAAGGCAGAAGCTGCAGGGTGGGTTGGGAGGGAAGGAGAAGAAGGAGTCACTCTGGATCCATCGCAGACCCTCCTGACTCAGCCATGGTTGCCCCGGCAACAGCTATCCCAAGGTATCACAGGCTGGATTACAAGACAAGGTGCCAACACAGCACAGTGTGTTTTCTCCCACATCCTTGCTCAGGGTCCACTCCCCGATCTAACCAGGCCACAGCACAGCCCTAAAGCTACCTCACCCTTGCTCTTAACTCCAGCTTCCCAAGGCACTAAAGTCCTCTGTCCTTCAGCAGGTGCTGTCCAAATCACAGACACTTGTTCCCCCATCCTTCACCCAGCAAATGCCTAAGTGCCTGCTACATGGATGGGAAAGGAGTGGCCAGGAGATGCCAGCCTTCATTTGCATAGCCCAGCCAGTATCAAACACTATATGTAATTGGAGGCTTCAGTTCCTTCATCTTTACATGAAACAATGAGAATTTTCCAAGCTGCCTGGAAGCCAGCAAAGCACGAAGAGTACCAGGTCCACAGGAGTGCCCAGTAAGAGGTAATGGCTATCACCTCATGCCGGGCACCCACTGTGGACACCAGAATGAAGAGACGAACTTACTCCCAGGAACCTTCAAGCAGGAGAAAAAAAAAAAACAAAAAAAAAACAAAACAACAACAAAAAAAAAAAACTGGGTTTCTTTCATAGACTGGAGACTGTTTCTGACAAGAGATTAGTCTGAGCAGCTTCTCTAGAAACCCTGGAGGAAAATAACAATGAGACTAAGGATTTCTGCCTCGCCCTCATCACTCATGAGGGAAGAGCCCCTCAGGGGCTGGGCAAACCCACTGGTTTTTCATCTTTTGGAAAACTTCTAAGACACCAGAAGTTAAGCTCTCAACCCCTGGGTGAGATCTTCCCTGGGAGGCTGGAGTGGCAGGGCCGGGGTGCAGACAACAGAGGCTGCCAGTGAAGTCCCCACCAGCCAGGGAGGAGGAGCAGCTGGGAGGCCTGAGTGGTTCTCAGAATGAACACCTTAGGGCACAGCAGCTCCTGGGAACCTGGATGAAATGCAGGTGCTCAGGCCCCTAGGAAGGGGCTCAGCAGTGGTAGAACAAGCCGTTGGGGGTCCTGAATGGCAGCCGACTTTAAGGGCTGCTGATCCAGTTCATTTGTGTGCCAGTTAGCACAGAAACAAGCTACAATAGACAGACAGACAGATAATAAATAAATTAATTAATAGATAGATAGATAGATAGATAGATAGATAGATAGATAGATAGATAAGAGTGAATCTTGCAAGAGAGTTTTTAGAAATCCAAGTAGGTGGGTTCCAAAGTAAGGGGAGCAGAGGCTGTCTTTGACATGGATTCTGTTGCCTGTTCTTTGATCACTTCCCTCTGGTATGGCCTCTTGCCAGGCCACTGAGGAAGAGGATGCAGGCAGCCCTAATGAGACTTGATAGGCTGAGGTCAGATGGTAGGGGAGGAGACCTCCCCGTTATTGAGGACCAGGGGAGGGGGGAAGGCGGGAGGGTTGGACTGGGAAGAGATGAGGGAGGGGCTACAACTGGGATGTCGAATGAATAAATTATAAAAAATAAATTTAAATTAAAAAAAAAGAAACCAAATAGGGACATCCAATCCCTAAAATGAAAAGAATAACAAATAGAGAGCAACAGAGGAAGAAACACCGATATGATCAGATTCCTTATTTTTATTAAGGAGAGTTTTCTGTTGGCTTTCAGTTTGCCTGGGTAAAGGGAAGATAAGAAACGCTGGTGGGATGCCTCAAGGATAGAGTCGCCCACAGACTGAAAATAGAGTATGTTCAAAATCATAAAGGCGGCAAAAGTCAATAAAGGCCAAACACAATGAAACAGTCTGTCAGCCCCAGAGAAGATGGAGGGGAAAGAAGAGACTCTCAGCCACACCCAAAGGCATCAGCCGCCTCCCACACTGTGTATAATTATGAAGTACAGGCTGAGCAAGCCTGATGAGACGGCCCAGCGTTTCAAGGGCTCCCAAGTTAGAAAGTTTTTGTATGTTGACATGACTCCCCAACTGGAAAGTGTCACACCTGACATCATACGATAATGTCAGTCAAAACCCAAGCCCTGAGTAAAATTCCCTTTCGGCTGCATGTGCAAGGCGTACACGAAGCATGTGTGAATTTCATGGTCAGACTCGGGCCCCACCCAAGACAGATTGTCGCTTTTGTGTAAATATTCTAAAATCCAGAGAAACACCTCTGGTTCTAGGTGTCTTGAATGTGGATCCTCTGAAGAGACTGGCATCCTGGTTTTGCATTTAGAATGACCGAAGCATGAAAACATTGTCAGCCCGTGGCATAGCGCTGTTTCTGAAGGGGCATGCGAGCATGCAGGCAGGCTGACTGTCAGCACCTCTGTCCAAGGCTTCCAGAGAGGTCTGCACCCCAGTTTACAGATGAAGGGAGTGGTGCCAGAATGGAGGCAACCTCATCGAGGGCACACACGGCACCTTCACACCCTAAAGTAATGAAACTGGTTTCTTTTGAAAATAGGTTCCACTGCCACAGAGGGACTCTGAAAGACTCTGCCCTGCAGACTATCAAAGCAGACGTTGAGACTTATGGCCAACTGTTGGGCAGAGTGCATGGAATCTTATGTAAGTGGGAAATAGTAAGATCTGGAGAGTACAGGAACCCCACAAGGAGAGCAACAGAACCAGAAAATTTGAACACAGGGGTCTTCCCAGAGACTCATACTCCAACCAAGGACTATTCATGGAGATAACCTAGAACCCCTGTACAGATGTTGCCCATGGCAGTTCAGTGTCCAAGTGGGTTCCATAGTAATGGGAAGAGAGACTGCCTCTGACATAATCTGATTGGCCTGCTCTTTGATCACCTCCCCCTGAGAGGGGAGCAGCCTTACCAGGCCACAGTAGAGGACAATGCAGCCACTCCTGATAAGATCTGATAGACTAAGATCAGAGCAAGGGTGTGCCTGGGAATGTGGAGCACTCTGGATGGGGTGAAGATGCAGGACTCCGTGGCTGAGCTTCTGGAAGCTCCACAGCCATGTGGCTGTGTCTGTCACTGACTACTTCCAGAGTTGTGGCTTTCTGGCCATAAAGGCCAGCAGACATGTTAACACTTGTGCCGAAGCCTTCACAGTGAAAACATCCCAATTCCACCAGCTTGTCAGTTTCTGGTAGGTTTAAGCACTTTGAGATAGGGTCTCAGCTCCGCCACAGAACAAATAACTCACAGTGGATGGAAGCCCCCTTGGCTTGCACGGTCTTACCCTGTGACCTGGCAATATCTAACCTTGTGCTGAAGATTTGGGGAACCTCCATCGCTGTGAAGTGCCAAGACTTGCCTCATCGGGGGCATAAGCCAGGGCTGCTCTTAGTCGCTCCCTCTGCCCTCTACTTACCAGCCCCGCAGCCTGGAGGCCCAGGGCGGCCTCATCCCTTGGTGGTCTCCCACACAGAGATTCTGCCCATGCTTATCTTCTTTCCCAACATGCAGACTAGCTGGCTAATGCTTACAGGGGCATCCAGCCTACAGCCCTCAGGCTATAAGCAGCCCAGGAAGGCTGTGAATGCACTCTGACACAAAGTTGTAAAACTACTTAAGACATCATCCTAGTTTTTTTTTTTAGAAGCTTGACTGTGCAGTACTCAAGTATGAACTCTGTCGGTGACAACACCATGCCTCAGTGTCCCCTACGACAAACATATGTATGTTCTACAGGCTGTGGATTGGACATCCTTGAAATCTAAACATGTAGTCCAAGAGACAATTTTTCGTTTGTCCAGTGCTGCCCAGAGAAGCCAAAAGGTTATGTGTGGATATGTGTGCATTCTAAGGGTATTGACTGACCTAGTCGCTGCCTTTAAGCAAGTGCAGCAGGCTATAAAATACTGTGGCCCCACACTTTCAGCAAGAGGATGCTGCAGTCCCAGCCATTCAAGAAGAGGATGGTGTGGTACCATCTCTTCAAGAAGGGGATGCTGCAGTCTCACCCCTCCAGGACTCAGAGCTCACTCTTTGGCTGCCAGAGTGCAGGATACTCAGTGCTCGCAGTGGGAGCACCTTGTTGCCTTTGGACAGAAGAGGGGCTACATCTCATGAATTCTCAATAAAGATGCTCAAAGGCCAGGAACCCAGCCTTCACCTATCTTCCTTTCAGGGACATTTCACATTGCAAGATGCTTATAAGCCTGGCCTCCTGTCACATTTCCCAGAAGATGGGCATCATGAAGTCGGGACAGAGATAAGAGAGATATAGAAGCCAGGATGGAGGCATGCACAAAGGTTGACTGGATAGGGAACCAGTTCACAGGAGGAGACCTGAGTCTAGGAGAAACTACTCTGAGGAAGGACATATATGGAATACAGGATTCCTCCCAAACCCCCAGGTCTGAATCCCTTGGTCCCTTTCTGAACCACATCTACCCTCTGCCTGTTGCTTTCCTCATCTGGACAGTGAAGTCCACACAGCAAAGTCAGAAAATAGAAAGGATCTTAAAGCTACAGTGAAAGGACTTCCTGTTACTATGACTAAAGGATCAAAGATGGGATCAACTGTTGTCATTCATTTAAGTCCAAGGACAGGGGTTCTGACCAGAGGTTAAAGAAGCTGCCCTTAACTCCTTTTCCTATAGAACTTCTCAAAAATTAAAAGAAAAACTAGAGCCCTGGGATCAGCTGTATATACAAGAAAAACTCATGAGAGCCTATTTGGAGAAACTTTTACTGCCAGAAACATAATTAGCCCAGCAGGGTGGATTTCTGCAGGTAAGATGGGCAAGCTTTCAGGGGACTCATCAGAAGAGCCAGCTATGAAATCCTGTCTCCCACTCTCCTGAAATAAAAATCACGCCCTCCCCATGAGCAAAGGTCTTGGGCAGGGGCCCAGGCTATCAATCTTGTATGGCTAGTCCCTGCCAGGAAGGGAAGATGAGTGGGAGTGCTGAGCCATCCATTTGCCCAGGAGCTGCCTCTGGGAGGAAGAGATCAAACATCGATCCACCC